CAAGCAAACCAATGGCGATCTGACGGTTGGCTTCACTTAGACGTGGCATTTTGCGTTCGTCAACAATATTCCAAATACAGTGAATAATCGACAGACAGCGATCACCCTTTTATACCCATCATTGGGACTATCTGATCCCCAACTGTCACGTGCATTGCATGTGAATTGTGTATTCTGTGACACTACACGCCGAAATTGAAAATCATGCTGTTAAATACGGGTATTTTACGGATGGTGCATTTTGTTGTGATGTTTCAAAACATAAACACCATAGGACTCATAAACAGAGCAAAACCTTTTGTAAAATGAATCACGTTTTAATTCATTGCTACATGAAATTGCTATTTTCATGATGCGTTTCTATTTTGGGAGAGTATCTATCTACAGAATCAACAATCAGTCCACAGAGGCCCAAAAACCATTCAGGCAAATTTTTAGGGCTGTGCAATATTACCGGTAAACCGGTATATACCGGTACAGTATCTCGCGATAGGATTATCGCGATATGGTTCAGATTCTGCAATATATTGGGTCATCCAGAGTTCGCTCCCTTTGAATTATCTGCCCTTGCCGTCCAAGGCAACAAAATATGCTCTAAAAGTGCCCAATATACTTTTATTTCAGTTGGTTTCATGTAACATTTTCCAAGTGGAAGTGTCTTTAGAAGTTGCTCAAAATGTGCCAAATATTCTACCAAATGCTTTACGTTTTGTGGGTTTGAATGATTTAATATGTGACGTTTTGGAGGAATTAAGTGACCTCAAATGCACCAATATTTTGAGAGAAGTACGAGTTATGAATGGCAACTTCTTGTTGTGAAGGATCAAGCATACACTCCGAAACGTGGCGTTATGCACAATAAAGAAGTTGACATCCATAAATCTTCATTTTCGTAAGCATTCCACTTCTAAACGCCTTTCTAAGATTTGACAAATCTTTTATTTGGACCTATTAGTAGAGCCTCTGGCTCTGAGAGACCATTTCACATTATTTTATTATTTTTGTTTGTTTCATAATGGGACATATGTCATCAGGCCAAAGTCTTATACATTTTGTAGGACTGTATAATGACATTCTAGTCAAGGATCTTAGTTACTGGAGGTCATATGCGATTTCAAGCTCAAGTAGTTCACCTAAATCATGTTTTCTTTCATTTTGCAATAGTTCATCTTAACAAATGTTTATGTTGGAGTTGAATATGAATGAATCACTGACATACAGTAACAATAATTACATACTGCATGGAAGTGCACACTGACCATGAAAATCATGTTATACTATTACCTTTATCATTATGTTCGCAAAACTTTGTTGCAATACAGTACTTCAGTTAAACATGCTACACTTTATTTCCTCCAGTAGTTACCGAAGATTACAAACAAAAACATCATATCATTACAGCACGTACATGAATATCACCAATTGGATATTTAGACACATATGTACAGAAATTTATGAGATGAAGAGAATCAGTGTGCATAACAGTTCACAAGGTGAGGTTTCAGGTCATTTACATACAAAGAAAAAGCGTAACAGTATGGTTTCCCATAGTGTTGAATCTATAGAGTTATAAAAGTCGTTTTCTGCTCCAAAGAGAAATGAGAACATATCTTGTTCCCCTTGCATTTCAAGTATTACGTAAGTTTCAACATCAAGTTTATCAATTAAGTATGCAAAGAAATCATTTCGTTGTTGTATTAAGTTTTCACAGTGGAGAAGCATATGGAAATCATAGTCAAATGTTTGTTTATTACAAAGAGCACACTCTTTTGAGATTTTACCTCTTGATAATATTTTGACACAAACTTGCAAGGAAGATTTATGATTAGGGTGTTTATATGCCAGTTGCCAGAGAGTGTGATAAGAGAGTGTAGTATGAGTTGATGCGTAAAATGACATGTTTGAACGATAGAGAGTTTGTGATCGCCATAATTGTTCTTCATAACTATGTACAGTAGCATTTACAATTCTTCTCCATACACGTTTTGGAGGAAATATGCCTTGAGCAATATAATTGTCAACATAAGTATTTAGATTATACTTTAGATATTGATAAAAGATCATCACAGATGTTGTTAGATTTTCCTGAAGTTGTAATAGCAGCACAATAGATATGTTTTGCAAAGTTGTTACACTCAGTGTTACATAGTCGCCCAAGAAATAGCAGTTTACATTTATCGATATACCCAATTAGTGACCATAGTCCCAAATTTGCAATGGTAGATATTGATGATGACCTCTTACCAAGACCTTGCACAAGACGAGCAAAGTACCTTTGTGTTTGTTCAAAGGTTGGACTTTGATGTTTGGTAGTACTTCATAGCCATAGAGACTAGTTTTAAGAATCATTCTGAGCCATATTTTAACACAAGTCATTGGATGTAGGTCAGAATCATTCAGTCCAATAGATCTAAGTGAGTTTACATTCTGTCTTGCTTTCTGACAATACTTTTCACTTCTAGTTTTTGTTGAGAGGTTACTTGTAATGAGTACACCACCATATACGGTAGATTCTGATAAGGGGATTGGGATGTTACAATGCTACAGTGGACGTTTACATCATTGCCTTTTCTTTTGTTAAAAACGATGATGGTACTTTTTGATGGGTTATATGTAAGACGCCATTTAGAAACGTATGAACAGACAATATCAAGTGATACCTGTAGGCCATTAGGGGATGTGCTTATGAGTGTAGTATCATCAGCAAGCAAGACAGTTGGAACGTCCATACCAAAGACACGGATACCACAGCCAGCTTCTCTTAAAGATGTAATTAGGTCATTGATAAAAATGAGAAAAAAACCAAGAGGATATAACCCTCCCTTGTCCAACACCTTGCTTGACCAAGTACATTTCTGACCTCTCGCCGTGGTATGCAACAAATGATTGGCTATTGGTATAACACTGATGTAACAGTTTCCATGTGTTACCTCTAATACCAAGTTTATGAAGCGTATAGAACAAACCATCATGCCAAATTCTGTCGAATGTTTTTGCATTGTCGAGAAAGGCTGTAAAGACAGGGGAATCTCTATGGTTATAGTATTGTATACTCTCCATGAGAGTAAACACAGACATCATGGCTCCATGCTCTTTTCGAAAGTCCGGATTTGATTTAAGCAAATTTTTTTTCAATTCGTTTGAGCAAGAGCTTTTCAAATAGTTTACCAAGGCAAGATGTTAATGTGATACCTCTGTAGTTTCGAGGGTCGGTTTTATCATTTTCACCTTTGTGTATTGATTTTACCATTCCAATCCTATATTCGTATGGGACATGTTGAGATTCAACAATATGATTGAATAGTTTACATACATAATTAATGAATACATCACCTGCATATATGATATGCTCGTTTGTAAGTTTGTCGGGACCTGGGGATTTGTTTTTCTAAGAGACTTAATAGCATCCTTTATCTCATCAAATAGAAAGTCTCTTTCTAGTTCCTCATCATGATCCTCAGTGCTGCTATTGTCAATTTCCTGAACCAATTGAGATATGTGATTTTTGAAATCATCATCAAATGTTTCTGACTCATGTGGTTGAGCTAGGTCGGTATAGTATTTTGCCCCATATTTTACATACTTCAGAGGGCGTTGAGCCGCTCTCGCCTCCGTAATCAAGTGTAGATATATTTGTTACTAATGCCCGTTGCTTTCGGACAGTTTTCTAGAAAGTGTTTACGTCCAATTCAGCAGATAATTCAATTTCTTATAGCATTTCTATTTTATGGGATCTTTTTGATTTCCGAAACAGACATCGGAATTTTCTTTTCTCATCTTTATAGGCCAAACGCTGTACAGAGTCATGTTCGCGAGGTTTACCGGAATTGATCCATGCACGCCTGGCTACTCGCATATCGTAGTGAGCATCATTTAGGCAATTAGATTTCCAAAAAGGTTTTAGGTATGGTATGTAGTTACTGTGAGGTATAGAGTTTGAGGAAGCATACAATAGAGCAGAGCTTATCATATCATTGAAGTAATTTATACTGTCTGGTTGTTTAAAATCTACATTGGAGAAATTCCGAGAATACATAACGTCCTCGAATAGTCTTTGGTAACAGTTAATGTCATTTTCATTAGCTAATTTCCATTTTGGAATACCATAATGAAGATTGCTGTAATGTTCCTTTACTGGTATGCTTATGGACATGGAGCAAGGCAGGTGATCTGATACACTACACGGACAAGTGTCATCTACCATAGCACTGGTAACACATGTGCTCAGATCGGATTGTATAAGAATGTAGTCAATCATACTTATTTTCTTACCTACAAGTATATTTATGTGAATTCATAGGCATAAGTTTGAGAGCATTTATGAGGTCTCTATCTGACAAAGCACACTTCAAAGCTTTGTCTCTGTGTGATAAAATATGCTTACATATGTCCGAGTTTAGATCACCTAAAATAAAGGTTGAACCCTTTTCAGATAGATAGTCATACAAATCTAACAGCTCACTGAGAGCACTACAGTATGTAGCATACAATGTATAATATTCCAGTAGTAGAATCTCTTACCGTTACGTCATAAGACCTGTGGTTGGAAGGGAGGGGAATTCGTATTGAGACTTAGTATTGTTTTCAGCTACTTATGTGAAACAAGATATTCCTAAGTTAACATTATAAGCATTTTGTGTGACATCCATTTTCTCAACAATCCTTAGCAGAGTTATTGTTTTCAAGGACATTCGTGGGAAATGTGCTTGATAAATGTCCAGACTCAATCCTGAATCCTCCGTCCCACCTCGCACAAAGCCCTACCCTGAATATGGAATGTTCAGTCTCTTATGTGCAAAATCACGAACGACTTAGCTGTTCGGGATCTTCATGGTGAGACCGGGTTTTGCTACAAATTAGAGTTCTGAATTCCGAATGAAAAATACCACTGAAAACCCGGAGCCGAATGCCCCAAACAGGCCAAGAAAATATCGACTGGGTCTGTTTTGAGAGACAAAATTATGTTTCACGTTGTGTTACATGATATCGTGTCGTTTCAGCTCCACTGTTGGTTTCGAAAGCGTTTCTCCCCTTACTGAGACGGGCCGCAAACAAGACAGATTTCAGCTGCAGCAGAGCGGCCATCATCAACGTCTCTACCGTCTTGAGCCTTATCAAATTCATCAACAGAATGAATGACTTCCGCTACCCATACAACAGCTCGAAATGTGCCCTCAACATGGTGACTGATATTCTCGCGAGAGAGGTTTCTCCCGACGGGGTGCTTGTGGCAGGTCTCCATCCCGGGTGGGTCAAGACCGACATGGGAGGCCCTAACGCAATGATAGATATAGAAGAAAGTATTTCCAAGTGTATGAATACAATAGCAGTGATGAATAAAGATTCGTCAGGGCTGCTGTATTCATACACAGGAACTATTTTCCAGTGGAACGCAGAATTCTGAGCAGTGACAACGCATGTGATTAGCTTATATATGTGACATGCAATGCTTTCCTAGGTCACGGAGGAAGGTATATCAGCTATAACGTTTGCTCACAATGCCACATTAATTTCAATGTTTATTCAAATGCTTTGATCTAATAAAGTCGAGTTAGGGAGCATCCATTTGATTTGAAAGTAGGCGCATTACTTTGAATTTTAGGCTGTGCAGTACATTTCTGGCACAGGACGTAACATCTACAAAACATTAAATATTATGAACATGTTACATTTTCTGAATGGATCAGCGTTGATTCTCTAAAGGATTCTGTTGTTAGAACACATAAATAGATAATAAATGTTCTTCGCATTTGTAACTTCGTTGTGTTCATGTTATGCTGAAATAATCCCAATAAAGAAATTGTTGGTAAGTCAATGGCATTTGATTGGTAAACCAAGCAGGTGTTATTACATTTCACACAATCTGACAGAATGTTAGGCCAGGCCATACGGTTTCCTGACCCGGTTGGGCGGGATTTTAGTTGCAATTTGTACTAACGAGCTGCCTACAGTTTTGGGGTTAATGATTATATTAGCAGTCTGAGACATGATTTTTTTTATGCTTTATTCGTAAAACGTTAACATAGTATAGTTTTGTTAAAATGGTGGAGAGGAAGATCTGATTTTGCAACTGATTCTCAACGCAAAGTCCTTCAGTAATCACAGCAGATTTTCATGGATAGAACCTTCACTGCCAGGCCCGAACAGTTGAATCTACATTACATCATCCATGAAAGAGTTGGCTCAGACTCTAAGGCCGGGTGGGACAACTTAGGAATGGCCAGCGAGTCCTAACTTGACACATAGAAGGAAGCGAGCTACAAAGACATATTTTATATCATTGGAAAGATCTCGAGGAGATGAACCCAAAAAGTTCATGTGCCAGTGTGCTCACGTGTTCATAAGCTCACAAATTGGCTCTGAAAATGCATTTCTGCAGAAATTTCTGGCAGAATTTAATTTTTCCGCAGACATTTCTGGCAGAATTTTATTTTACGGCAGAAATTTCTGGCAGAAATATTTTTTCCCGCTGAAATTTCAGGCAGAACTTTTACTTCACTACCAGAATTCTCTTACTTGAAAAAGATTAGACACCATTTTTGGATAATTTAATATGGACTTTCTTCAAATGATGTTTTCTCCTGTAAACAACTTCAAGTGGAAGGGGAAATGGTTCCCAGAAGTAGATCGCCGCACAAATCTTACAAGGCATATTTTAACATCTTATCAAGACGAAATGAAAATAAAAATAATATGGTCATTTCTTTGGGCTAAGTTGCAGTCATCCCGTTGTCCCTTTGCTATGGTTTATATATCTCTATTGTTTGTATAGTCATTCGAACTGTACAATGGAACACTGAATTGTATATGGCAGATGTGTACTCTTGAAACCACAATGAAGCCATTTTTCAAACAGTCTTGCAATAATCGAATCAGGATTGGGTGATATATTTATACAGTATTGTGGTGTCGGTGATTGCAGCGTCGTTGCAGCTCAGCAGATGAGCTGCTGTTCAGTTATATGTCTGTGATTTGCCGACTTAACGAATAGAGATATTTTCACCGTCTGCCTGAACGGCATACACACACCATTTTTGCACACCTTTTTGAGAAAGGTTATTGGCGTTGCAAAACAAACACAATGGTATACACGACCACCCACACCTCCCTCCACGGATGTCCACGCCCCATTGGGTGTTCACGTAATCTGTTGTAAAGCGTATCAACATCCCAGGCTACGGTCCAAAGTCCACATATATTTCGATGAACATAGGACTGGTAGTTAAAATATTTATATTTGGATTTATCTGACATGGATTTATTTTTTAAGCAGCACCTCCTCTTGAAACACATGCTTAGTACATAAATACAAAGAAGCAGCCCAGAAACGTCGTGCTGTAAATAATAAAGAAGTTGTACATCCATACCATACGTTGTTATGTTAGCTTCCAACTTCTAAATGCCCATCAAGCATCTTCATGTTGATCAGTTTACAGTGCAGACATTATTAAAATTTAACCATGATTAAATATAGTGATTAGGATGTAGTTGTGTGGCATTTCACCAATAAGGAGATACACATACACACGCGCGCGCGCGCACAAACGCACGCACGCACACAATCAAGTCACCAGGAAAAACCGGTAGCATATGGTACAAACAAAGGGTAGGTCACTTAATTCGCTACTCACTGCGTTAGGGAGAATAATCAATCAATCCAGACTGGCTTCATTTTGCATGAAGGGGTAGGGCCGAAAGTTTGGAGACAGACTACTGGCATGTGTAAGGTCCCAGCGATACAGAGCGAATGTGGTTCTTACATGGAGGGAAACGCATTTACAAAACCTAATCTCCTAGTAATATTAGCATTCGTATTTCGGAAAATAAATATATAGATCTAGGCAAGCAGAAGATGTCCTTCATTTGAAACACACTCTGCTGAACACAGCAGGTGGCTTCATAATGTCTGTTGGAACAATGCAGTTGACTACAGCCGACTTGGTAATGTTCATCTAGGTCAGGACTATCAATATGTCGACGTTCATCAGCTGATGAAGATAATCATTCACGTGAGCCAATTCCACGATGCGGTAACTATTGTCAATTCATTCACTCTCTGCTTGAAGGACAATGTAGTCATGCTACATACTGAAATCGGGAAAGGAACGACAGTTGGTCTTTTAGTATCCATCTGGACGAGGTCACACACTACTGTCAATATGTATAGACGGTTCAAGGTTTTCCGCGTAAAATATAATTCTAAAGCGTCTGTCAACGTATATACCAACTTCTGTGCGTGTATGGAATAGCTGACAGTAGCTGAATGCCCATTAAATGCAACTTGACAATCTGAGGTACGACTTATGCAGAGACCAGAAAAGATATTGGCGACATACATTCTGTTGTCAATAATAGCATTTTGAATGATCTACAATAGATATAATGAAACTGACTATGCATTTATTCACTAACCATTCTCACAGGTTCACAAATATACTGGGTCAAAATTGATCTTCAGCAACCCATGTTGTAAGAGCGAACTAATGTGATCGGGTGGTCGTTCTCACTTACTTGTTTTATGCTTGCCATCGTATCCCACTTGTGAAGATCGATTATTACCCTAACACTGCCGTTGCAATAAACAACCTATAAACTGGATCGGTAAAAGAGCAAAACTTGCTTATGAAAATACCTCTTCAGGTAACTGTGCACACATCTTACAATATTTAAAACACAAGCATATATATGCATTGGCCATCAGTTTTATCATCTGTATGACATGACATATCACAGGCGTAGAACAGCATATGCAGCTACTGCATTCACGGCTTGTTCCCATTTCACCTACATCCCATTTCGCCTACACCCTTATCAAAACACATTTACACTTGAGTGAACATAGGATTTGTATGCTGTACACTGTAGTTTAATGGACTAACCCAAATAATGAGAAACAAACTTGTGAGTCGGGTTGAGTTGGTTTGACCATTTAATATATATATATACAATATACAATATATTGTTGACATATTGTTGAAGGACACTCTGTAACTTTCACGAGACACGGAGAATTATATGTAAAACAGAATTTTGACTGCTCTTCCAAAAACATAATATATGTCATAACGGTCTACTCCCATTTGTGAGAACTCCCAGTTGTGAGACCCAGTTGTGAGACAGTGGAGTAGGTATTTAGCAAAGAAAACACACCTTACTCCCCTATCTGATAGAATGGATTAACCCCAGCTAATAATGGATTAGCTATTTAACTGATTCTTGTGGAGGTAACTTAATGAAACTCTAAAAGATAAAGTAATTAACCTACTCGAGATAAATGGCTTTAAAAACAAACACTTTGTGTAGGTAACTTCGTGATCATTTGAGAGAGAAATTAATTTACCTACTCAGATTTACGTGTTTGAAAAATCTAGCAATAACTGTTGTAACTATAATTAATCCAAATGTATTTATTAACCTTTGACTGCTCTTTCCGATAACCATTATGGCAGGCCTTCAACAAGTAGAATATATCACCAGTTCACGATATTCTTTTTCAGTATTTCAGTATCTATTGAAAACAATAAATGCTCTTCAACGAACAATGTCTTCTGTGTTAATTAACTCATTAATGAACTATGCCTCCTGTGGGTACTCTTCAGCAACAGGGCTGTTCCCACTTTCATCGTAGGGATGGGGAAGCACCACCTGTGTGCACTGAACCATTAATTAATGTGTCTCACAACTGGGAGTTCTCGCAAATGGGAGGACACCGTCATAACATGCACAGGCTGTAATGAACAGTATATTGGTCAATCAGAAAATTTAAGAGCCCGCGTTCGTGTCCACAAACAACAAATAAAGTGTCCTGAAACCCGATGTATCCCACTGAGTGAACATCTAGATGTCTGTGCGAAAGGAAACGATGTTAAATTTACAATATTTCCTTTTTATCAAGTTCAAAATTCGGACAAAGTAAAACGAATTTTAAAAGAACACTACTTCGTAGACAAGTTCAAACCAATGTTAAACCATTGCAAGCTGTGACCTTGTCGCTCTAGAATGTTGTCCCTATTGTGACGACACAATATATATGTAATGACGTCATACTGGAACCGCTACAATCTCCCTGAAGAGTAAAGAACAAAACATGTTGGAGAAAAAGGCATTCTGTTTTTATTTATCTATGTGATATTTATGACTGAACACCTGTACTATTTTGGACATTTTGTGCGTATATATATATATATATATATATATATATCAAATAATATAATCATAAATTTGAACATATCAAGTTATATCAAATCACATAAGCACAAATATATCAAGTTATATATCAAGTCATTGAACATATCAAGTTTATATCATTGTTCTCAACAAATCTAATGTATTTGCAGTTTAATTAAATGTCCAGCTGCGTCCAGAAACTGCAGCACTGTCTTTCTTCCAGTTACTTACTGGTCCTTCAAGCGAGTCAGTCTAGCGTCCAGTTCCTTGTACTTGCGAGGACGTGAGCGGACTCCAGCACCATGGTCTATCTGCAAGCGAAGTCGTCGGTCAGCTGACTCAATCTTCTTGATTTCCTTGACAAATTCATAGAGGTTAGGATGGGACTTCTTCAACCTCTTCTTTAGTCCCAGATGGAAGCCTTCCAAGTGGTTGTTAGTTCTCGGGCCAATAGTTTCATGTTGGTTCCATATCTCTCCTGGAAAGCGTGCGTCGTAGTCCACCCAGTTGGCCGTGACGTAGTCATTGAATCGCTGGATGGATGGAGTGTTGGGTCCTGCATCCATTACAGCCATGCAGGCATCGTGGATTTCACCAATAGGCAGCAGGGGTAAGGCACCAACTCTGTTCACAAGTGAGCG